AGAACCGAGACCCAGCCGCGGCCAGCGTGGCTGCCGCCCGTAAAGGAGCCGAACCCAGTGGGGGCGCCGCCAGAGGCCCCGTGGGCAAAAGGTGAGTGGCACGGAGGTAACACTTGCTGGGTTTGGCTGGCCCTGGGCATTGGAGCCAAAGGTGGGGACTTCCGGGACCCGCGCCTCCTGGAGCTGGTGAGACTTGGGAGATGGAGGGACACCACACGGGGTCAGACCTTCCCGAAAGAAGATAGGAGGGTAGGAACGCTGCCAGGGCTCCCCGCGGGTGAGCCATGATGAAGATGCGCAGAGACGCTGACTCGGCGGGGCGAGCCGCCCTGGGGAGGGGAGCTCCTCAGAGGGCAATGGAGGTTAAGAACACGCCAGAATCACCCTGCGGGAGCCTGGAATTACGGACGGTAAGGCCGCACTAGGACCCCCTGTGGACATGGTGAGTGTACCCCCAGCTGAGTCTGACTTTGGAGAAGGGAGTACCCTCCATGACAGCTCATCTAGAGAGGTTCGCGTGGGAGCAGATGCATTCTCCTGAGCCCTGGCCGATCCAGACTCCCAGGTGACCCTGAATGCTCTTTTTCAGGCTGCAGCAGGAGCTGATGACACTCATGGTGAGTGACTGACTGTTCAGACCCCCACCAGTTATCAATAGTAACTCCTTTCCTACATCAGGCTCTTTGCTAGACAGAGGTACAAAGATGACTTGCTTTCTTGAAGTTCATACACTCCACCTACACCTTTTCTTCCAACAGGCTCCTCCCAATTTCATCTCCCCACCGTGAAGCCCTCTCTAAAACCCAGTCCCGGGAGGTCTTACAAGGCCTGCTCTGCCCTGCCTGTTCCAGCTTCCCTTTCACCTCACACCCAGCTCCCCACCCTTATGGTATTCCTAGTCCTGTTAAACCCTGGAGTTGCTCCCTTCTTAATTCCCCTTTTCTGCATCAGCTTTGAATGTTTAACCCACGCCCTTAGGCACCCAACGAGATTGTGGGTGCAGAGCTGCCTTTTCCTGTACGAGCTCTGGAGGTGTCTTCCCCAATGGCACCTACTTGGCACCAGGAGTCTAATCACATCCTCAGAAATACCCATAATTCAATCTGGCGGCTTTATTTTGGATCAGACTGATGAGATTAAGGGATAGGACTCACCCACCCACCTTAATTATGCCCAAAAGTATACTCTGCAGTCTCAAGCGCTGTGTCTCCTCCCCAGATGTCTGGTGACAAAGGAATTTCTGCCTTCCCTGAATCGGACAACCTTTTCAAATGGATAGGGACCATCCATGGAGCAGCTGGCACGGTAAGGGTAGGGGTGGGGTGGGTGAGTGTGGCGTATGGTGGGGGGTGAGATATGAATGCCGCCAGGTCTGCCTCAAGCCTTTAGCTAGGCAGGATGTCCCCCAGATCTGTCTACATGCGTGAGTGGCCTTGTTCTCCCTCTACAGTAGGAGGGCCTTCATAAAGCAAGCTGCCTATCTTAAATGCCTGTTGGGGGCCTGAAAACAAGGATGTGAAAGGAGGGAATGGGAAGGCAAAAATCTCAAGGCAACTTTTTCTTGATGCAGAAACCCAAATCTGTGGGTCTGGTCCCATGGCCTAATGGTTAAGGGAGTCCAGTCCTACATGATAAGCTAAGGTTTGAATCCCGGCCCTGGAGACTTGAAAAACATGTAGGACACATGTGTATGTGTGCCCCAAATCCTGACAGGATGGGAAAATGGAGGAGAAGGGATTGTAGAGTGGCCACACCCTGTTGGTGTGCTTTCTCCCTCTCTGGCAAGAGCACATGCCCCTGGCAATTAAACATTTTAAAAGAAAGTACAAAGAAATTCACGTCTGTAACAAATCTTTTTATTTTCCCACTGAAGAGTCTATACACTCAGGACTAGCAGTTGGTGTAATGGCTATGTTGCTGGATTCCCATGTAGTCAACCATGGCTCGAGTCCCAGACCCAGTGGCTTAAACTCATACCGGGCGCGTGTGCGTGCGTGCCTAATATCCCGAGAGGAGAATGGAGGAGAAGAGATTGCCGTGTGGCCATCTTCCCTGGGGGGTGATTTCTTGCTTTTTGTCTCTGTCTTTCTGGCGAGTGCACGCGCCCTATAGCAAAAAAAAAAAGCTCTCAAAAAAAAAGGAGTCCATACACTCATCAGAGACAAGAGAGGGAAAGTAAAAAATCCCCACACAGATACACCCAGAGGGGGCCGCCATGCTGTAGTCACTTCTCTTGGGATTTTGGGTGCACATGCACCCAGCCTGATTTTCAAGCCACCAGGTCCAGAACTCGAACTGCACAGTCAGCCATGTTAGATCCAGTGCCTTAACCTCCTCACCACCTGCTGGCTCTCCAAATTTCTGTTTTTTCCAGAGGATGTTTGTGCCCGCCAGAGATAGAAAGCAACACCCTATGGGGCATGATCACGCCATAATCCACCTTTCTCTATCCCATCAAGATTTTGGACTCATGCACACGTGCACCCAGCTTGTTTTTCAAACTATCAGGGCCAGGATTTGAACCACAGCTGGCTGTCTGGGCCACGGCTCCCTTAACCACAGCACTGACCCCAAATCTCCTCTCATTTTTATATGTTACTTCCTGATACTCTTGTTTTTGGTTTTGGGTTTTTTTAGTTTTGCCTTAGGGCTTACCAGAGAGAGAGAGATGGAAAGTGAGAAATCACCATTCCCCTCCCCCCAGGGGGATAGTCATCCCCCAATCCTGTCTCCATTCTCCTCTCAGGATCTTGATAATGCACACATGTGCACCCAGAGTGATTTTTCCAGCCACTGGGTCTGGGACTTGAACTATGCAGCCATGTGGGATCCAGCCCCTTAACCTCTGTGCCACCTGCTGGCCCAGTAGCTAATAGTCTAATTAGACTCAAGTACAGCTGTGGTGGCCCTTGGGATGCCAGTTTACAACCTTAGACCAAAAAATCACTGACCCTGCCAGATGAGAGGAAGCACTCGAATGTTCTGGTCTACTGTGTAGTCCCAGAAAGGAATTCAGAAGGTCCTACCAAGCAGGCCCCTGTGTGGGACTTGGTCGGAATATGAGGCTTGACGGGGAAGCTTACTCCCTGCCCCTCTCTCCCAATGCCAGGTATATGAAGACCTGAGGTATAAGCTGTCCCTCGAGTTCCCCAGTGGCTACCCCTACAATGCACCCACAGTGAAGTTCCTCACGCCCTGCTACCACCCCAACGTGGACACCCAGGGTAATATCTGCCTGGACATCCTGAAGGACAAGTGGTCTGCCCTGTACGACGTCCGGACCATCCTGCTCTCCATCCAGAGCCTGCTAGGAGGTGATTTCCCTGACCGCCCCTACTAAGCACCCTGGGAACCCATCGGGGCTCTCCCCAGGTCAGCCTCTGCCCCTTAACCATTCTGTCTCTGCACCCACAGAACCCAACATCGACAGCCCTTTGAACACACATGCCGCCGAACTCTGGAAAAACCCCACAGGTAAGCCTTCCCCAGCCTTCAAAGGCTCCCTCAAACAAGAGGCCCTCAGTGACTTGGGACTGGATTAGAGGGAGACCCAGTTCTGCCTCCACCCCAATGTTCCTGTGTGCTATTTAAGAAAAAAAAAGAAAAACAGGAGGTTAACTAACTCCCCTCCATATGAATACAGGCTTAGGGGGGTTTTAGTAGACCACATTGCCTATACCCCCCCAGCCCTACCCTGCAGTCTCCCTGAGAGCAAGCCCACCCAGAACACCCGACTCGGGCAGCACAGGGAGAACCTGCCTTGCTGGGAAACCAGGCCCTTCGGGCCTCCTGCCACCTTTACCTCTCTGGTCAGGCTGCCCACCTTAATGACCTCCCCCTGTCCCCTTCACTCACTGAGACCCACCTGTTCTTTTTCAGCCTTTAAGAAGTACCTGCAAGAAACATACTCCAAGCAGGTCTCCAGCCAGGAGCCCTGACCCAGGCCGTCAGCCTCTCCTTCTGTCGTCTTACTTTTTCCTTATTTGATCTGTCCTTGATTTCTGTTAGGACTCTGTATCTCGAGCTGTGGTGTTCTTTTTGTTTTGTTTCCGTTTTTTAAATTAAGTGTCTATTTGAGCCCTCGTGTCACACATTAAATAAATGCATTTTAGTTGTTTTTTGTACACATTGTCACCTGCAGTTACCCTAAGCTCAGGGTAGGCAGAGGCGAGTTTATGATCTGGGCTTTCAGAAGCAGCTCACCGGCTATAGGACTGAGCGGTGGAGCGACTAGAGTTCGTTCCCTTGTGCTTTTAGTTATTTTATGACTCTGCTTCTTTATAACATGAGTGTCATAATAGTACCTACTTGAATGGGGTTGTGACATACACAAGGATTGAATATTAGAGCTGTCCCAACTGCGTTGCATGAGGCTGAACCAGACCTTAGGATGTGACACAGTAGCTATCCAGAAAGAGAAGGTGTGTGTGTGTGTGTGTGTCTCAGAGGGGAGAACCAGCCACCCACTGACACGTTAGTAATGGCTTGGATGGCACCACACTCTATAAAGGGATACATTGACCTGCTTCATCTCCACCAGCAGCTCCCCCAGAGGCTGCATCCCCTTGGGCACCTTTGTAGTGACCTGCACAGGTTCTGGCCTTTGAGCCCCTGGGAGGAAGTGTCATGAGACCACCTGAGCAGTGCCCACAGTGGCAGGCAGAGGAAAGAGCAGGCTGAGGCCATTAGCCCGGCCGAGTCCTCAGGAAGATCCAACGTAGACAAATATAGCACCCGGGTGCATCCCTCCAGAACCAAACCCATCCCTGCCCGCAGCTGGCTGTGTAGGCCTGGGGTGGGGGGGTATGTTGAAATTTCCACCCACTCACTTATTCCTGCTAGCTCAGGCCCCTCTACTAAGCAGCTGCATGTGAAAAGGATATTCTGTAGGCCTGGAGTGGGGGTTGAGATTCCTTTTTCTAATCATTTGCTGTGGTCAAGTTAAGAAACAGATTCAGGGCCAGCCCTTGGCCTAGTGGTTAAGGGAGCCAGAACCTGCATGATTCAAGTCTAGGTCTCTAGCTTGAGAACAACCAAGTTCATGCATGCCCAAAATCCCAGCAGAATGGAGAAGGCAATATAGCATTACCACACCCCACTGAGGTGCACTTCCTCTCGCTAGTGAATGCAGGGACGCCCTCCAGCAAATGCAAAAGAAAACAACAGGGACCAGCAGATGGCATAATGGTTATGGCTTGGAACTCTACATAGTCTACCACAGTTCAAGTGCCAGATCCAGTGGCTTAAACACACTGGATGCATGTGCGTACATGCCCAAGATCCTGAGAGGGGAATGGAGGAGAAGGAACTATGGCATGGCCGTCCCCCTGGGGAGTGATTTCTCACTTTTTATCTCTGTCTCTGGTGAGCATTTGTGCCCTATAGCAAAAATCTCTCTTAAAAAGAAAGGGGCCTGCAGGTGGTGTGGTAGTTAAGGGTGTTGGACTCCCACATGGCCTGGTAAGAGGACAATGGTGAAGTGATTTTGACATGACCATTCCAGGGGTGCTTTCTCCCCCTCAACCCCTGTCCCTCTCTGGAGCATAAGCACCCTATGGCAAATAAAGAAAAATTACATTCCAGACCTGTAGCACAGCACAGAGGAACCTGGATCCCACATGGCCAACCAAGGCTTGGGTCCCAACCCTGCCAACTTGAAAAACACACTGGCCATGTGCATGTGTGTTCAGGATCCAAATTAGATGAAGGGATGAAGAGGGAAAACGGGTGAAGGAGCATAGACCTCGGGTCACAGTGACCTGTAAGGCTTGATTAAAATTCTTGAGCTTCATCTTGAGGGCAAGGGGGAGCTATGAAACCTTGAGTAGGGAAAAGATTGATCTAAGATCAGATTTGTTCTTAGATCCTGCTGGCTGCCATTGGGGAAACCAATGGCCAAGCGGACACAGGATAAGCCAGGGTGGCCTGAGTTATGGGGCTCTGGGCACGGAGAAGATGGTGAGGAAGCAGCAGGGTGTAGGGAGTAATTGCAGGGTGGAGAATGAGCACCAGAATCCTGACTTGGGCTCCATCCTCAGGTACCACCCCTGAGAGGAGGACACAGGAAGATGGAGGGAGAGCTTCATTCGTTTAGGGCACGGCCAGTTTGAAGTGCTCGGGACATCCATGTAGAGCTGTACAGGCAGATGATATCACAGCTGAGAGCTTTGCTCCTGTTCCCTCCACAGGGCGACATCTAGGCCCTTACCTGCGTGCCTGTGTACTAGCTAGGCCTCGGTTTCCTCAGCAGTACCACGGGCGTAATAGCATCTACCCTGGAGATGTCTGAATGAATGAGACAGTCCTTGTAGGGCACGGGGCACGGCACGCAGTCGGCACTCAGTAAAGAGGGATGATTACTAAACCCTACTCCGACCCTGGATGGAAATGCAAATGGAAGCCAAAAGGGGAGAAGAGAAGAGAACAGAGAAGGGGAGGAAGAGTTGAAACGGTAAGATCACCGCAGGGTCGGCTGCCCAGCAGAACAGTTGATGCTACACACAGGCAGCCAGATCCCCACTGGACTATCAGTGTTCAAGTCCCTGGCCTGGCATCTTAAAAGACTGGGCACCTTTGGGGATGCTTTCTCTCGTATTCATGTGCAAACCCTCTAGTATTAAATAGGGGGGAAAAAAAACCACTGGGCCATCCGGTGGTATGGTGGTTAAGACAGCTGGATCCCACATGGCTGAATGCATAGTTTGAGCCCCAGAACCAGCAGCTTGAAAGCCACAAGAGGTACATATATGGCACATATATGGGGCATGTATTTGGGGCATATGTGCCTCAAATCCTGAAAGCAAAAGTAAATGAAAGAAAAGGGATTGTGGCATAACCACTCCTCTTGGGTAATGCTTTCTCACTTCTCTCTATCTCTGGCAAGCACACATGCCCTCTGGCAAATTTTTAAAATAAAATCAATAAAATATTTAGTTAGAGTTTGGGGTTCCAAGAATGAACACAATGATGATATTAATAATAGCTAGCATTGGGAACCAGCAGTTAGCGTAATGGCTATGTCGCTGGACTCCCACGTAGTCGACCGGGTTCGTGTCCCGGACCCGGTGGCTTAAAACTCACGCCGGGCACGTGTGCGTGCGTGCCCAAGATCCCGAGAGGAGAATGGAGGAGAAGGGATTGCGGCGTGACCATCCCCCCTGGGGGGTGATTTCTCGCTTTCTGTCTCTATGTCTCTCTCTGTCTGTCTGGTGAGCGCACGCGCCCTACAGTGATAATCCAAAAATAATAATAATAATAGCTAGCATTTATTAAGTGTTTATTATTTTATCTAACTGTTTTTTTTTTTAATTTGATCAAAGAGGGACAGAGCAAGAGAGAGAGAAAGTGAGAAAGCAAACTGCCAGGTCCAGGACTTGAACCACACTCGAGCCATGTGGGAGTCCAGTGCCCTTAACCACCACACCACCTGCTGGCTCCTATCAGGCACCGTTGTAGGCACTTTACACACACTAACTCATTCTCTCAATCCTGGGAGGTAAGTACTATTGTCCCCATTTCACAATGTGGTTTAATTTGCCACAGGCAGTGAGGATTCGAACTCAGGCTAAACTATCACTATGCTTAATTAGCTATGGCCTGGCCCCTGCTATCCTGAGCATGTGCAGAGCCTGGGAACCAGGTCCCAGCCAGTGGGGCAGAGATCAGGGAGGAGATGGTATCTGAGCTGCCTCTTGCGGCCGAAGGATTTGCAAGGTTTATGGGGAGAAGGGCATGGGCAGGGTGGAGCAAGGGAGCAAGATGTCTAAAAGCCCAAGGTTTGGAACATGTGCCCCATGTTGCCAGTGCTACCCACCAGGACACCCAGAGGGGTGACAAGGGAGAGGGGAAGAAATGGAAAAAATTTGGATTTGATTCCAAAAGCAATGGGGACCCTTGAAGGACTTTCAACAGGGGAGTGACCGGTCAGATTCCGTTTTAGCCAGATACGGCTACTGGCCCTCTGTTGAGCATACCCGAGGGAGCTGAGGACAGGGAGACAGGCAGAGGCGGGGGATCCAGGGCAGAGGTGGGGGATCCAGGGCAGAGGTGATGAGCTGTGTGCCTCCACCCTCCCCTACCTCGCCACATGGGGCCCTGGCAAGCGCTGGGGAGAAGTGGGAGGCCAGGCAGAAGTAAAGTTCTCTGCCTCTCCCCAGCCCGGCACCCAGGCAGCATGATGCCCAAGACCCAAAAGTTACAGAAAAGAAGAAAAGTAGGGGACGGTTCTCCCCTGCCCGGGGTTCTAGCCTCCAGCGGCGTCATCACCATTCTCGCCGGCCAGGGCACCCTCTGCGGGCCGCCAGCTCACCCTGAGTTAGCTCAAAGCCCTCGAGGCGTTCCTGCTCCAGAATCAGGCCCAACCGCTGCCAGTCGGCCGCTCACGCCCAGCGCCACCCCCGCAGTGGCCCTGAACTAGCAGATCACGTCGTCAAACGCCCCCAGCACTCAGAGACCGCAGCCTCTGGCTTCCCCACCCGGAACGCCTCTCCCTGACCCCTGTAGCACTCAGGGTGGCGCCCTAGGAAGCAGCCCAGCCAGGCGTCCCTAAAACCTCTCCTGGTCCCCCTCATTCAGGCCACGAGCTTTGCAGTGTTGGCTTTTATTCCTTCCAGACACTGACCCGGGCGGGGCCGCGCCTTTCTCTGGGGCGGGGACAGACCGGGTGGAGGGGAAGCCGCCCACACCCTAGGGACGCGCCGTCTGGGTGGAGGTGCCAGCGGGCTCCTTACTGCACGCCCTCCATCATCTTCAGGAACTCTGCGGGAAGGAGAGCGACAGGGGTGCCTTGTCATTAACTGATACATTGCACAAAGCCACGCGGTGCTCCCTGCCTGCTGGGAGTTTGGGGGAACTTGGCCCAGGGCCACCCACAAGCCAAGGACACCCGAGTGGGTGCCAGCTGCTCGGCTCCATCCCCCTCTTCCCAAGCCACCATGCCCTCACCATCAAAGTCAATGCGGCCATCGTTGTTCTTGTCCCCGTCCTTCATCAGAGATTCGATCTCGTCTTCAGTCACGTTCTCCCCAGAAGCCCTGAAAATCTCAGTCAGCTCCTCTGCATCGATGTAGCCGTCTGCATTCCTGTGGGAGATGGGGGCAAGTGGGCTGTCCGGGCCACTGGAAGCCCCACACACGCACCCCACCTCTACCCAGAAAGCCTTCCTGCTCAGTCGCTCGGCCCCAGGTCCCCAGTGCACCTGTCAAAGATGCGGAAACACTCGGCGAGCTCCTCCTCGCTCTTCCCTTTCGCATCCTCTTTCATCTGGCGCACCATCATGACCAAGAACTCCTCGAAGTCGATGGTGCCACTGCCTGGGGAGCAGGTGGTGGATGAGCCCCTGCCCGGTCGCCTCTCCCCAGCACCCCTCGCCTGGGAGGGCCGCCCACTCACCATCCTCGTCCACCTCCTCAATGATGGCGTCCAGCTCCTCTTTGGTGGGCGTCTGGCCCAGCATCCTCATCACTGTGCCCAACTCCTTGACGCTGATGTCCCCACCTCCATCAGCATCAAACATGTCGAAGGCAGCCTTGAACTCTGAGAGGGGAAGGAGGGTGAAGTCCTGAGACCATCGTCCTCACACTTCCCCTCCCACTCTTCCCAGGCATCCACCTGACACCCAGCCCCCGCGCCCTCACTCACCAGCAATCATCTCCTCGCTGAGGTAGGACCGGGCCTCGGCCTGCTGGTCCGTCTGTGGAAGGTGCAGAGAGTCAGAGAACAGAAGGGGTGGCCGAGAGCATAACCTCACCTCGGCCCCACTTCTGTAAGTAAGTGCCCCTTGGTCCTTTGAAGAACAGCTCCTAACTTGTGGCATCTCTGTGCCCCCACAGCACCCACAGCACCCACAGCACCCAACTCCAGTATTGTTGTCTGTTTTGTCTTTTTAAAATTTTTGCCATAGGTGCGTGTGCTCACCAGACAGGAGACAGCCAGAGAGACAGTGAGAGGGAAAGTGAGAAATCACCTTCCAAGGGGATGGTCACACTGCAATCCCTTCTCCTCTGCTCTCCTCGGGATTTGGGACACACACACACACATACGCACACACACATGCACACACACACGCGCCTGCTGTGTTTCTCAAGCTGCCGGTTCTGGAATCAAACCTTGCAGTAGGCCGTGTGGGATCCAGCTGCCTTAACCCTTGTGTTACCTGGCTAGTCCATCAGCCACTGTTTCGAGAATAAGAGAAAAGACATGGGGGCTGGCTCCATAGCACAGTGGTAATCGTTGTTCGAGAGAAACTGATTCCACATGGCTACTGCAGATTGAATCTTTGACCTGGGCAGTCCGAAACACACTGGGCATATATGCAAGTGCCCGATGGGCTGGCAAACTGGAGGAAGGGCCCATGGGGATGAAGGCATGACCAGACCCTGGGGAGGGTGCTCGTCTTTCTCCCTCTCTGTTTCGCAAATGTGTGCATGTGAAACAGTGAAGCCTCCATTATGAGAAAAGGAAACAAGTTTGGGGCCAGTCTGTGGCCTGGTGGTTAAGGCAACTGGATCCCACATTTCAGATTGCATGATTCAAGTCCTGGGCCTGCTGGTTTGAGAAACACAAAGGGCGAGTGTTACATGTGTGCCCAAAATCCCAAAAGGAGGGAAATGGAGGAGAAGGGACCATGGTGTGATCAGCCCCTTGTGGGTGTTTTCTCACTTCCTCTCTGTCTCTGGTGAGTGCATGCACCACCCTCTTGTAAATTAAAAAGAAAAACGATTTTTAAAAGAGGAAGAAAAAGAGGAGACAAATTACACCCCGCAGTGACCTTGAGCAAGTCACTTGTCAAGCCCTCAGCAGCTTTTCAGGGATATGATGAAAGCAGGTGGGCCAGCACTATTCCAGCAAGAATTCCAGTCTTCCCTAGTTGCTAACGGTGCCCGATGCTTTAATAGCTGCTTAAGGGGCTGACAGGTGGTGTGGTGGGGAAGGGTGCTGGACTCCCACATGGTCAACTGCAGATCGAGTCCCAGACCTGGTGGCTTGCTTTCTCACTCTCTCTCTCTCTCTCTCTCTCTCAAATTAAAATAATTAAGTAGATAAATAAAGTTCAATAAAATAAGTCTTTAAAAACAAACAAACAGACAAAATAACTGCTCAATATACGTTTGTTCCCAAATAAATTATAATGCAACACAAATTTGACAACTTGCTAAGTGTCAGGTCATGTAGACCAGGCATGGGGACCACCGAGGGAAGATGGGAATGCATCGTCTCTCCTCTGCAAGAATTTGCAGATGGGGGTTTTTAATTAATTTAATTAATTATTATTATTATTATTTAATTTGACGAGAGAGAGAGAGGGAAAGTGAGAAAGCAAGTTGCCAGGTCAGGGACTTGAACTACATTGGGTCATGTAGAAGTTCAGCACCTTAACCACCACATCACCTACTGGCCTGAGATTTTTTTTTAAGAATTACTTATCTAATTTTATTCATCATCATTATTTTATTTAATTTTTTGAAGTTGACCAGAGAGAGACAGAAAGAGAGAGAAGGAAAGTGGGAAAGCAAGCTGCCAGGTCTGGGACTGAAACTGTAGTCAGCCATGTGAGAATCCAGCTACCCTAACCACCAGGACACCTGCCGGCCCCTGGCCTAAGACTTTTAATCATAATCCTATCATTGAGTCATTGGTGTAAAAGCCTCTCAGTGGGTAGAATCTGAGGGGACCTTAGTGTGAAAATGGGTTTCTGGGAGCATGGCCAATGGTTCAGGGATTTGGACTGAGGTTGGTGGTGAGGAAGGGCTGAGGCATCCAGGGAGTCCTTCAGCCATTGGCCAACGGTCCTTCTCTTTCTCCTCTCCCTCTCCCTCCTCCCTCTTCTCTCCCAGTGCCAGGAGAGCAGTCTATTTTTAGTTGGGCAGGGCACGGGCAGCTGGCCTCCAGGGTCCAGTTACTCCTTGAAGTGAAGTGGGGAGGGGGTTCTCAGAAGAAAATGACAGCCCCAAGTCGGAAGCTCTCTTGAGCAAGCTGGAGTCTCTCTAGTCCTGGGCTGCCATTGCTCCTCCTCCTCACCCCTCAGGGCTCTTAGCTGGCTCTAGGGCTCCCATCTTCCTAACAGTGGGAGGGTGTGGCTGGCTCTCAGCCCCCCTGGCCACTGGCTTGCTGGGTGACTTGTTCTAATCCTCAGGGTCCCCATCTCTTCTATGACAGAGATAAGCTAAGACCCCCTTACACTGTGAATAGTGTTGCTGGGAGTCTCAGAAGCCGAGCAGGGAGTTGGTAGGCCATGAGGATCATGTCAAAACCTTCTTCCCAGACATCTGTGCTCCAGGAACCTTCATGTTTCACCTTCAATGGACCACCCAGGTCTGGCCTGAAAGAGCCCCAGAAGTACCCCAGCAAGCAGAAGACTGAAGTCCCCCTTGGCCTTACCATGGTTGCTGGTCACTGGGACTCCACAGCAGGTCACCTCCTCTGCACTCCACCGCCCAAAGATGCTCTGGCCCACTCCAGCCCTGGGGATTTGTAGGGGCCCCCTCTTCTCCCACCTCCCTGCTCCCCAGGACTGGATACTCCACCCAATCAGATCCTGGGGTCAGCGAGCCCCACCCCTCCCAGAGTCCTAGCCCATTACCTAATTTAGCCAAGGTCCCTTGCAGAGAAATTTAAGCCTTGAGCAGGTGGCAGGCCTTGACGTCCTAGATTCTTGTGAGGAGGGCCCGCCCCACGCCACCACCTTAGAGAGCCCCTCCCCCCAGGCATGTTGCTCCTAGATGGGTAAGGACAGTCGGAATAGTGACAAGTAAGGCAGCATGGTGGAGTGGAAGAGCACGACCCTTGAGTTCAAACCTGCCTCTGCAAGCTGTGTGACCTTGGGCAGGTGGTGAAATACTCTGCCTAGTTTCCTCATCTGTGAGATAAGGATATTCTTTCTGCTTTTTAAATTTCATTCATCATCATTATGTGTTTGGTTTTGTTTTTAATTTGACCAGAGAGTGAAGGGAGGGGAGTGAGAAAGCAAGCTGCTGGGTCTGGAACTCGAACCGCAGTCGGCCATGTGGGAGTCCAGCACCTCAATCACCATTCAATCACCATGCCACTTGCCAGCCTGAGATAAGGATAGTTCTAAGCTCCCTCACAGACCATGGTAAGTGGGAGTAGGTGTAAGTCCCCTCACTCATGACAGGTACATAGGGGCGGTGCTTGGCAAATTCAATGTCCTGTGTTTGAACCATGGTAAAGGGGCAAGGGACAGTAGAGAGGAAGGTGACAGCAAGGTCACCACTTACTGAGCTGCTATGACACGCCACACACTGTGCTAAGCTTTTTTTTTTTTTTTTTTTTTGAGAGGTTTTTTGCTACAGGGTACGTGCACTCACTGGAGAGACAGAGAGACAGAAAGCAAGAAATCACCCCCTGGGGGGGATGTCCACACCACAATCGCCTCTCCTCCATTCTCCTTTTAGGATTTTGGGCATGCATGCACATACACCCAGTGTAAGTTTGAATTCAATGGGTCCAGGACTCAAACCATGGTCAACCATGTGGGAATCCAGTGATGTAACTGTTTCACCATCTGCTGGTCCTAAGCATTGTTTGTTTTCTACGCAAGAAGGCACATGTGTATGTATGTATGTGTGTATGAGAGAGGGGGAGAGAACCCCCCAATAGGGCTAGGTCATGCTACCATCTCCCCTCCTTCAACTTTCCATCCCATCAGGATCCCATGTACATGCCCACCTGGTATGTTTTCCAAGCCCACAGGGCCAGGACTCAAACCCTAGTCAGCTATGTAAGATCAACTTCTTCCTTCCACGGCAAACTGTAGCACCGCGGGCCCACCCTGTGCTAAGTACTTAACCAAATGACCTCACCTCGCACTCATCTTGTGAGGAAGCCGCTATTATTATCTCTATTTGACTGGAGGACTTTGGACATCCCGAGGGTCTACAGTCATGCTGGTGATTGTCATCATTAGTCCTGACTGGGGAGAAGGTGAGGCAGGCAGCCATCAGAGGAATAAATCCAGAGCAGTGCATGGAGGGATCAAGGAGAGAAAGGTATGCAGATGGAGGAGAAGGAAAGTGGACAGGCCAGCTGGCATGGTAGTGAAGGCAGGTCGATCCCATGTGGCCAACTATGTGGTTCGAGTCCTGGACCTGGTGGCTTGAAAAACACTCTGGCACATGTGTGTGCATGCCCAAGATCCCAGGAGGAGTAGGGACTGTGGTGTGGCCATCCCGGGGGAGGGTGCTTTCTCATTTTCTCTCCCTCTCTCTCTCTCCGGGGAGCACACATGCCCTGTAGCAAATTAAAAAGAGAAAGAGAGAAGGGAAGGAAGGGAGGGAGGGAAAAAGCAACTACTCTTTCAAAAAATACATATTTATTTAATTCCGTTTGTTACTATTTTTTAACTTGAACAGAGAGAGACAAAGAGAAAGGGAAAGTGAGGAAGGAAGCTGCCAGGTCTGGAACTCAAACCGCAGTCCGCCATGTGGGAGTCCACCACGCCACCTGCCAGCAATCCATTTCTATTTTTTTAAAAAGTTATTTAAATTAAATTGAATTAATTTGACCATAGAGACACACACAAACACAAAAAGAGAGAGAAAGTGAGAAAGCAAGCCACCAGATCCAGGACTCGGACCGTGGTCAGCCATGTGGGATGTCCAGGGCCCTAACCACCACGCTGGTCCCCAAAAACAACCATTCTTGTCTCAGTTACCTTCTCTCAGGAAAGGGTATTAGGGAGACTCTTTGGGGAGAGGGGGTGGGCAGGATCTGTGGGTGGCAAAGGGGCAGCTGGGCCCCTCTAGAGCTCAGCACGGAAACGTGCAGGAGCCCAGCAGATCATCTGGAGAGCGAGGGGCTGGCAGACCAAGTCCAAAGGAGCCCACCCTGAGAATCCCAGGTCTAGTCTGGGCCTGGGGAGTAGGCAGGGCGCACAGACAGGGGCTGTCACAGAGAGCACTGAGAGCTGAGAGCAGGGTCTGGGGCCAGGAAAGCGGGGCTGGACACCAAGGTAGGCAGATGGACAGTGGCAGCTGGCCTGCCCCCTTCCCTATATATAGACATTCCCGAGGAGAGCTCAGCTGGCCAGGCAAGGCTAAATAAGGCCTCCCCCATCCAGGCAGAGGGCCACAAGCAAGACCCAGAGGGTTCCAGTTTGGACACAAACACTGAAACCTCTTGGTCCCCTTGGAACAGAGGGAGTGGAACCCTCGCTTGCTCATTAACTTACGCTTTTGTTTATTTGAGAAACTAGATAAGTTCCAGACTCCTTAGTGTGACCAAGCAAGGTCCACCGGCCCCTCTAGTCCCACCTTCCCTCCCTCCCCACCTTGTACGCTGTTCTGCTCTGGACAGACTGAAATACTCATTTTTTTAGAATTATTTATTTAACTTTATTTATTCTTTATTCTATTTTATTTTATTTTATTTTGACCAGACACAGAGAGAGAGAGAGAGAAAGTGAGAAAGCAAGCCATCAGGTCCAGGACTTGAACCGCAGTTGGCCATGTGGGAGCATCTAGCGCCTTAACCACCATGCCACCTGCTGGTCCCCAGACTGAAATAAATGCTGCACCTGAGGCTAGCAGGTGGCATGGTGGTTAAGGCACTGGACTCCTGCATGACTAACTATGGTTCAAGTCCTGAACCTAGTGGCTTGCTTTCTCACTTTCTGTCTCTCTCACTCTCTCTGGTCAAATGAACAAAAATCATAATAAATAAATAAAATTAAGTAAATAAGTCAATAATTGTTTTAAAATAAATAAATAAATGTTACACCAAACCCCGCTTTTCATAAGCCTCCTGGCCTTTGCATATGCAGTTTTCACTGCCAGAAAGTCCCAGCTTCCATGTCATCTTTCTCAGCTTTTTTTTTTTTAAAGAATTATTTTACTTATTTATTTTAATTTGACCAGAGAGGGACAGAATGAGAGAAAGAGAGAAAGGGAAAAGGCAAACTGCCAGACGTGGGACCCAAACTGTGGTGGGCCTTGTGAGAGTCCAGCACCCTTTACTACCACGCCACCTGCCGGTTCCCTTCTGCCAGCATCTCTGCTCCCCGACACCCAGGCATCAAAGGTGGTCCCGGGAGTTCCCTCAACCACAGCACTGAGCAGGCTTTCTGATCACAGCCTATTCTGAGTGCTCAGGGACCGCTTCCTGGTCACCTCTGAATTTCCCAGCACCCAACCCTTGGTAATTCTCAGGCTCTCATTAAATACTGCATTCTGTATAATAATAACTGCACTTAATGCCATTTGGTTCAATATGAGGACAGTCTTACAATTACGGTTAAACAATACCGTGGATGTGTCCCAAATCCGGCAGCTTGCTTTCTCACTTTCTTTCCTTTTTTTTTTTTTAAGAATTATTTAATTGTATTTATTCTTTTCTTTTTCTTTTTTTTTTTTGGAGAGGTTTTTGCTATAGGGCGTGTGCGTTCGCCAGAAAGAAAGAGACAGAGAGACAGAGAGACAGAGAGACAGAAAGCGAGAAATCACCCCCCAGGAAGGATAGCCATGCCACAATCCCTTCTCCTCCATTCTCCTCTCGGGATCTTGGGCACTCACGCACACGTACCTGGTGTGAGTTTAAGCCACCCAGTCCAGGACTCGACCTGCAGTCAGCGATATAGCCATTGCGCTAATTACTGGCCCCTTATTTATTTATTTTTTTAATTTGGCCAGAAAGACAGACAGAGAGAGAGAGAGATGGAAAGTGAGAAAGCAAGCCACCAGGTCCGAGACTCAAACTGTGGTCGGCCATGTGGGAGTCCAGCACCCTTATCCACCATGCCACTTGCCGGCCCACTTTCTCACTTTATCTAACTCTCTCTCTCTCTTTCTCTCTCTCTGTCTGTCTGTCTCTCTCTGTCCCTCGCTGATCAAATTTTTTTAAAAAGTTAAATAAAACAATTCTTAGAAAAAAAAATAACATGAATGTGCAGTTTCAGGAGGTAATGAGCTCAGTGTCCCTGAGTCTACACAAGCAGAATATTTCTTTGTTTGTTTTTGTATAGGGCCTGTCAGACATTGACTTGTCAGAGAGAGAAAGCAGAGGGGTCAGTAGATGGCATTGCGGTTAAGGCACTGCACTCCCACATGCATGACCGTAGTTTGAATCCTGGACCTGGTGGCTTGCTTTCTCTCTCTCTTTTTCTCTCTCTCTGGTGAGCACACAAGCCTTGTACAAATTAAAAAATAATATTAACAATAAATAAAATTAAATAATTAAAAAATTTTTCAGCCATGGCCAATTGAGTGAATGAAACGTCTTTTTTGCTCTCAACATCATGCCTATAACGTGATCAGAGTATTAGAACTTTGAAATGACAAAGATTTGGCCTTAAATCCCAGCTCACTGATTTCCCAGATGTGGATCTTGGGGAAGTCAATTTATCTAAGTTTCTTACTTTTTTTTTTTTCTGTTTTTTGCTATAGGGCACATGTATTTGCCAGAGAGAGATGGACAGAAGGCAGAGAAGAGAAATGAGAAATCACCCCCCAAAGGGGATGGTCACACAACAATCCCTGTTCCTCCTGTCTTCTCAGGATTTGGGGCAAACCCACACATGTACCCAGCTTGTTTTTCAAGCTGCGGGGTTCAGGACTCCATCTGCGCAATCAGCCATGTGGGATCCAGCGCCTTAACCTCTATGCCACTAGCTGACTCCTGGTTCTTTCTTTCTTTTTTTTTTTTTTTTTAAGTTTTGCTATAGGGTGCATGATATCCCGAGAGAGAGAGAGAGAGAGAGAGAAAGAGAGAGAGAGTGAGAGAGAGCAGAGAGAGGGGAGGTGGCCACAACACAAACCCCTTCTTCTCAATTCTCCTCTCTGGATGGAGAGATAATGGCCCAATAATGGTCCATTTTCAATATGAAAAACTAAACTAAAGGGAAACTGGGTCAGTAGGGTGATATGAAGATTAAAGTGGCTGGATCACAGGTGGCAGACTGTGACATTCTTGTCTCGGACCCCGGGTGATGTGAAGATTAAAGTGGCAGACTGTGACATTCTTGTCTCGGACCCAACGACTTGAAAAAGTATGCAGGGTTGTTTCTCTTGTCCAAAATCCCAGGAGAAAGGATTGTGGAATGACCATCACTCCTAGGGGATGATTTCTTGCTTTGTCTCTGTCTCTGACTCTGTATCTCTTGCTAGCACACACGCCCTATAGCAAAACAAAAACAAACACACACACACACAGAGAAAATGGACCGGTACTGTCCAGTTCAGCCTCTTCCACAGTGCGTTGTGAGGGTGCCATGTGACAGTACTAATGCGCTACAACAGGATGTAGAGACAGTGGGACCGACAAAGAGCTCCAGCCCGTCTGCTCATATGGAAATTGGGGACAGCGTTTTCCAACCTAAGGTATTTCCCCATCCCCATCCTGTGCGATTCAGAAAGGGTAAGAGCTACTGCCAGAGATCTGGCAAGCTGTGTGACTTTGGACAAGTAACTCAGCCTCTCTGGGTGTCAGTTTCCCCGTCTGCCCATTTCCCATGACATTGTGAAAACCTGTCAACACTGAGGAGCAATAATTATGTAACCGATCATTTCGTCAACCCCTGCTGTACGCCAGACGCTGGCTCTCATAAGAGTGGCGGAATTAAGAGGTAGTATTATTGTTCCTGTTTTACACATGAGAAAATCGAAGCTAGAACAGGTCCGATTCCAACTCAGATGGCGCGTCCTTAGTTTTCTCACTGGACAAGCAGGCGCCCTAACGTCGCGAAACTACAGTTCAAGTGCACGGGATGGGAACTGTGGGAGAGTTTAGGACTGACCCGGGTCTCCAGGAGGGACCGGAAGATGCAAAGACGGCGAGCGCCCGGCTAACGAGGCCGGGCTGCGCAGGAGGTCTGGGCTCGCTCAGGCCGACCCAGGATTCCCAAGTCGCTCCTGCAGCCAGAGCCGGGGATTCTCGGGCGGCTCCGGCTAGCGGGCGGGGCCGGAGGCGGGGCGGCGGCAGGAAGCGGCCTGAGCGGCGCTCGGAGCGGCCTGGGCCGGGCCAAGCCCGGGC